GTTCTACCCCTTGGTCCCCGCGCCGCAAACTACGAAATAGGAAAAAAAGCCTCGGTCAGTATTCGAACCGATAACCATCCGCGTCCCAGGCGCGCGCTCTACCAACTGAGCCAATGAGGGTTTTGGATAGGTGAAGCTTATCTCTGCTGTGTCTCACACCCCGAAACATATGGCTGGCAGAGGGGCAAAAGGGTTCCGTCGATTAGATTCGAACCAGCGACTGTTTGCGTACCGGCCCATCACATCAGGTGACGGACGGCTGTGAAGTCATGGCCGGCGGAGCGCGTAAAATATCACCCGGCCGAGAATCGAACCAGCGACCAGGTCCATACCGGGCCCGGACGCTACCTACTTGGCCACGACAGGACGATGCAGAGCACAAATCTCGGCGGCATCCAGATCTCAACTGTGACTGATGTCCGAAGACACTTGGCCAGCAGAGCAAGAAAAATGATCGCGGAACGGGATTCGAACTACCGACTATCCCCACGTTCTGCCAACGATCACGCTTTAACATACTCGGCTACTACTTGTTCCTCCGGGTTCGATGACTGAGCTCGGTCCTGGCTAACGGGAGACAAAAAGCGACAAAGAAAAAATTTGCCCCGCCCAGGAGTTGATCTTAGGGCCGAAAATTTTGGTTCGGATGAAGCTGCATGCGGCCATGTCGACTGTAGCTACAACTGTTTAGCTACAAAAGGGGCGTGTGGCTGGTGGCGTCGGACATCGTATGTTGGCCCATTTGTGACCACATTTTTGTGTCCATGAACAGGGACGTGTTGCCGCGACACGAGCTGTCGCTTGGACGCCTGCGAGGTAGGCCACGGCTTATTCTCTCTAAGCCGTCTGTCGTGACGGGGACTTTGGGTTTAGGCTCCTTTTGACCCCAGGCTCATAAATCCTTTCTAAAGCTAAGAAGTGACGCCGTACGCCGTGTCAATCTAGGCGCGGGTCGATGATTGTCGCTGAGAACGCCTGGAGAGTAGGCAATTCTTTCCTGAATCCGGCCCCGCGGCCCCCTGTCCCTCCGAGCGCTTTGACAAGGCGAGAGCAGAGCTTCGGAGGGGCATTGATATCTTTCGTTTTCGCTTTAGTTCTTAGCGCTGTTTACTTCTGGTTGATATTCTAGCATTGGCGGAAGTAATGAATTCGTCTATAGACGGTTCAGTTTAAGCTGACTCGAGCACTGTCGGCTGTAGCTACAATCGTGTAGCTAGAAACAGGGACGTCTAAGTCGATGGGGTCCAGGGTCGAGGTCCGGCATTAACCTACTCGTCAGTTCGAAATCCCGTGATCCGGTGATATTTTTTGCTCTCCGCTGGCCATGACTTTCCAGCCGTACGATAACTTTTTTATAATCTCCAGTCTTGACTTTAAATCTAATTTATGAATGAGGTAACAGCATGCAGTTAAGACAGTTTCAATGGTAATGACTTTAATTCCTCAAACAGATGTTTAAATGTGTAAAATCACAGACCCTCTGTAAAAGAGAACTTCTCAGAACATGTCAGGCAAACCACAAACATAATGAAGATATCGAAACAGAACTGAACTTCCCTGTCACAATGTCATATCTCACATAGAAACTTAACACCATTTACACAAATACAGTATTTTTTAACTTGAAGAAACATTTTTAAAAATCAAACAAAGAGAAAATATTTCTATACATTATTGAATATTCCTTTCTCACAGCTGGATGAAATACTGGATGACTGTCAAATGTACATTGAGACACAAATGTCCCTTTACATTTGCTGTGTTGAGTTTCCATTCCATGTATTATTTTCATCATCTGATGATGACTGATTTTGATGTAAACGGTGCACATTACTGTTACCAGATCTACGGTATGCTCCTCCACTCCGCCGTTGTGGTCTAGGGTTTAAAAAATGAATGCACATCAAATGATGATAAAGATAAACAGAACACACAACACTGACACTGAACATTAATATCAATACCTTTTGTCTTGTTGGTTGCTTCCTTGTCTTTGAGATTGTGTAGGTGCAGCTGAAGTGGTGTTTCCCCCATTTGATGGCGGTCCAGAAAAGATTTGGCGAATGAATGTGAACAAGCGCGTAACTGGGTATGTTAAGAACATTAAGAGGGTTTGAGCCAACCCAATTAATCCAGTGTTGTTCTGACTTGCCACAACTCTACCACCAGCCTGGTGTGTAAACGAACAGGGTTACAACAAAAACACAATCACAAAACAAGAAATCAGCAAAAATAAAATGAATAACATCTGGCGTGTCAGAGGATACATGAAAATAGTTTGAGTGAATCCCATGCCCCTATTAGTGGAATTCTCATTTGTTTTAGACTGCTCTGCAATTACACCCACGTCTCCACCAAGGAAATTCTCATTTTTAAACTCCTCCAAAATTGTACCCATGGCACCACCAATGGAATTCTTATTTTCTAACTCCTCTACAGTTACAGTATTGTCACAAACCTAAAGAATTAACAGAGATTTTACGTAACAAATCTGATACAACAGCTGAGGACTTTTATAATGGAAAATTTAAAAAGGTGCAGCTTACCGGAAGAATAAGCATTACTGAAGATGGTACAAGCTCAAGATCACGTAGAGTTGAAGTGTTATCTTGGGTAAAGAACTCACGACGAGGAAACATAGTAGCTAAAGAAAAATCTCTGAACCAAACACAAAAATAAAAACAGAAACAGGTTAGACCAAATAATTAACAAGGAAAAGTTTACAACTTAAGACTCCAGTTAATAAGCTTACCTAAAGGGAAGAGTTACATTAGTAAGTATGTACTGTCGTACTTCACCAAGGGTAGCATCAGCATCAAATCTATTAGAATAGGTTGATCCATCTGGCAGCCTAAATTGTAGGCGGGCCTCATTACTGTTCCTTGCTGCTGATGTGGGGGCACTGATTCCTTGTTGAGCAACTGAAGGAGAAGATGCTGATGAGGCATTCCGGGCATTTCGGTCGGCTCTACATGTGAGGAAAGATTAAAAGTGTTATTTGAAGTTTAGAGCAAATGGGTACCTGATACATTTTTCTAATTTTACCTGTCTTGAGCTATCTGATCCAGTACTCGTTGTCTGGCTTCTTGTTCCATTTTTTTCTCTTTCAGTCTTTCTTCTTTGAGTTGTTTTAACTCTTGCTCTTGCTGCCAGCGTTTGAGTTCCTGGACATTTTGACCCTCTTTTCGACGTTGCATCTCCTTTTGGCGAGCCTCTTCTTCTTCCTGTTGCTTCTTTTTGTTTCTCTTTTCCTCTAGTAGCTCCTTAGCCCGCTCTACTCGATCATCTAAAGGAACTGTAACAGAAAATTATAAATAATCAAAATGGACTTTAGCACAGGTAACTTAAGCAAAGCAATTGTGTCAAAATAAGATTCAATTAACAGACCTGTGGATGTACTTGGCTCTGATTCCTTTGCAACACCGTCATTTGTTGGGGCTGCAACATGTGATATAGACAAAGAATACAAATGTTAAGAAAGCAGTCTAAGTTGGAACTTATTCACATGTTTGGTTTCACACAAACCTGATGCAGGTGCTGATGGTGTTGGATTTACTGGAGTCTTCCCCAGATGAATGTTTTCAATGTTTTCAATTTTATCAATAAGATCCTTAGCATTACCTATTTCAGTTACAATTTCAATTGGGGAACCATTCCGGCCAATGAAATAAAGTGAAGGAACAGGTGGGTCACGATCTTAATTTGGCTAGTCAAGGAAAGTATGGTAAGTTTGAAGAGAACACATAAATCATTTTAAAACTAAAAAGAAAATAACAAAATATGATAACATGAAAGTGCATGACATTAA